CCCCAAAACCCCAAAACCCCAAAACCCCAAAACCCCAAAATAGTTTAATAAATTTAAATTTAAAACAGAGATGGAAGACGAGCGAATTGAGAAAATAAGGAATATTTACCAACGAACGAAAGACATCGGGAGACAAATTACTCAAGAAAGAGAGAAAAGGTAGGAACCCCATCAGATTAATCTCTGACTACTTGTAGTTACCAGCTTTCAGACTCCTCAGAGGACGATTACCCAGAAGGAATTGAAAATAGGCGCCCTGATAAGTCTAATAAGCATATTAGGGATTGGGACGATCATGATATGAATATGGATAAAATTGATAGGTCAACTGACGAAGAAGGCCTCCATTTTGAAGACCTTAAGCAAAGTTTGTTAGAGAAAGACACACAGTTGCTTAAAGTCAGGTCTAAAAATGAGAACATCCTTAATCAATACAAAGAAGCTCATGAAGAACTGGAACAGTGTCATGAGCAAATTGCTAGGCAAGCCTCTATCATCCATGAGCAAAACTATAAGCTTGAAGAAGCTAGCAAACGAATTCATGATGCTAGTCATAGCCATAGTCAACTGATGCAGCGCTCAAAGATCAATGTCACCTCTTTCCAAAATGAATTAGAGCAAAAGGAAGAGGAAGTTGTAAGACTGCGAGACCAGCTCAATATTAGCGAAGAAAGAGCCAGAGCTGCATGAGTAGAAATTCAACAAGACAAAGAAAGAATCGAAGATCTTGCTAAAGAAATCAAGTATAAAGAAGAAGAGATTTCCAGGATGAAGCACAAATGTGAACAACATGAAGCAAAAATCGATGAACTCATGGTCAACAAAAAATCTGATTCAACTCATTTAATAGAGATGGACTATCTTAAAGAAGACAAGAGAAGACTCTTAGCCATGCTTAAGTCCACTAAAGAGTTTAAGGAATTCGCAGAGTTTGCAGATGACAGCGGAGGGAACCTCCGGTTCCTTCAAGCTGAAGAACCAGACATTGCTCCTTCCAAGAAGAAGAGAGGGACTAGTGCAAAGCAGATGTATAGTCCGGGTTCAAGGATCAGTCCTGAAAATGAGAAAGAGAATTGGATCCCTGAGGAAGCATACCAGTTGGCTCATGAAGTTAGGTACCAAACCTCTGGAGAGATCTCTCCTCAACTGATGAATAAGCTTCTTACCTCTCTTAACAAGATCTGGAGAATCAGAGAGAAGCAGAACGAATTGAGAATTAAGTCCAAGTACACAAGTGAAATCGAGAAGCTTAAGAGAGAAAGGAACATGAAAGGACAGTATGACGGAGTCCAAGCAAAGAAGTCATTGGCAAGAACAAGAGCTCAGCTGAAGAAGGCTGAGGAGAAACTCCGCCAGTATACTGAGAAACTCAAGAAAACCAAAAACCTTCCATCAGGCATGGATGTCATCGATGAAGCTCTCATGATCGGTAAGTTCGTATCATAAGCTCTAGTGGCTGCTTCTCAAGAGGAAAAGAGGAAGTTGATGGAGGAAAATGATAACCTTCGTAACCAAGTTTATGAGCTTGAAGAAGTCAAGAAAAACAATGACTATGAAAAGACCAAATTCATGGAAGGGGCTAACTGGATGTGCACAAAGGTCATCAAAGAGAAAGAAAAATATGATGAGCGTGATTTAGAGCTCTTTAAAGAATTTGACCATAGAGTTATCGGCTGTGAGCATGATCCCTCACTTGCTATTAGAACTGTAAAATGGTTGAAAGAAGCCTTAGAAGTCTCTGGTCTAGAATTTGATGAAGTTCTAGGCTCCTTACAGGATTCAGCCCAGTATAATATGGAAGAAGCAATGAGAAGGGTCCAGAAAGTCTTTTCTGATTTTGAGCCAAATATATTATCGCTCAGCCAAGATACCACTCCTGTACCACAATCTTCAATATCGAAATCTTTAGCTTAGAATTCAATATTTCGTTCAAATCTTGGGGTTTTGGGGTTTTGGGGTTTTGGGGTTTTGGGGTTTTGGGGTTTTGGGGTTTTGGGG